CAAGATCTTGCTGAGTTTCCGGGGCTAGGCTCCAACTTGTGGTCCTCCTTCCTCAGCTTCCAGGAGTCTTGTCTTAGCTCCTAGTTACTGTCTCCGCTGGGGATCACAGGTATCTGAGCTGTTCCTCTCAGCCTCCTTGCAGTTGGCCTGTCTCAATTTTCTGTTATCTGATTCCTGTGAACTCAAAAAGCACGCAGCAATATTATTTCTCATCGATGCCATCAGCGTTTGTTGAGTTTGCCACGTTTGTCATTTATTTATTCCCTGTTCCTTTTCGGCTGCCCTTGAGTTTGGACCAAGTGCCCTCCTCTTGAAAAAGCTTTGTTTAGGAACTCCTTCCTTGAGAGACTCGTTGGCTTTGCCACTTTTCCTTTATCTGAAAATGTTATTATTTTGTGTGTCTTCTTGAGGGTTCTTCCGGGACGCCAGTTTTCTGCAGCACTTGGAGGGCTTTGCTCCGTTGGGGTCTGCTTTCTAGCTGTGTGAAGGGTTCACCGGCCTGTATCTTCTCCATTCTTCTTTCTCTGACTGCTTTACTGGCTTTGTCAGAAAGCCTCTGTGGGATCATTTTTAAATGTTTTTTTTTTTTTTTTTTTTGGCGGAACCGGGGATTGAACTCAGATCCTTGCATTTGCCAGTCAAGCGCTTATCCTACTGAGCCATCTCCCTGGCCCCGGGATCATTTTTATAGATGTGGTTTAAAAAAAAAACAAAAAACAAAAAACAAAAAAAAACACCCTGCTTGGGATTTCTTGATCTTTTGGAATTGAAGCATTTGCATCTTTTATTTATTTTTATTATTTATTTATTTTTTAAACGTTTATTTAGTGTGTGTGTGTGTGTGTGTGTGTGTGGGGCCAGCTCAGCCCACCTGGGAACAGGGCTGGCTGGCATGTGGTGCTGGGGGATCGAACCGTGGTCCCTGTGCTTTGCCAAGCTTGTTCCAAGTAGGTGCTTTAGACCACTGAGCCATCTCTCCAGCCCCTGCATCTTTTAATAATCTTAGAAAATTCTTAGCACTTTTTTTTTTTGTGGCCGGCTCAGCCTCCCCTTGAGGTGGGGGGCCGGGCTGGTGTGGCATTTGGTGCCCTGGAATCAAACCAAGTTCCTTGTGCTTGCCTATACTTGCCTAGAGTCATCTCACTGGCCTGATAGCACTTTTTTTCCTTTTAAACAGAGTCTTGCTGTATAATCCAGCCTGATCTCAAACTCATAGCAGGCCTCCTGCTTGAGCCCCCTCGAGTGCTGGGATTATAAGTGTGCACCACCATGCCTGGTAGCAGTATTCTTTGAATATTGTCTCTGTTTCCTTTATTACTTTTTCCTAAAACTTTGGTCAAGTATATGTTTGATCTCATGGATTGTATCATTGTACCTCCTGTGTCTGTTGTGGCCTCCTTTTCGTGTGCGTCTCTGTGCCCCATTCCAGTTTCTTCAGATGTGTCCCCTTGGATCACTGAGTCTCACTTTAGCTGTGTCTAAGTTGTTTTACATGTATATTGAGCTTTAATTATAATATTTTGATTTCTAATTTTTTTTTTTTTTTTGGTTTTAAGATATTCCCGGCCTATTTTTTTGTAGTTTCTGACTCACCATTAATGTTTTTAGTTCCTGCTTTCTTATTTTGAATGAATTAAATTTGTCCTTTTTTGGTACTAGGAACTGAACCTAGAGCTTTTACACTAAGCCTCATCCCCAGCCCACCTTCTGTTCTTTCCTCCTGTCCCTCCCCACTACCCCCTGTTACTTTGAGACAAGGATCCCACTAAGTTGCTGAGTCGTCCAGGCTGGGCTTAGACTTCTGATTCTCCTGCCTCGGCCTCTGTGAGAGCAGGAATCATAGTTAAGACCATGGTGCCTAGTTGAATTTGACATATTTTTTAAGTTTCCCATAATTTCATAATTCATAAGTTTATAGATATGAGACCACTTTTGTGGGTTTCTTTTCTTTTTCTTTTTTAAATGTATTTGGGACAGCTCAGACTCGTAGGGATCCCCTTGTTTTCAGCCTCCTCAGTGCTGGGATTACAGTCATGCCACAGCATGCCTGGTCTTGGGGGCAGGGCTGGCAGGGCTTGTAGTTTCAGGGATTGAACTCAGGTCCCTGCACTTGCTTAAGCGGGCGCTTAGTCTGCTGAGCTATCTCGCCAGCCCTTTGGGTTTTTTTTTTTTTACAGTCTTTTTTAGTGACTTTTGTTCATGTACCTTATTCTCTATGTGTTTTGTAAAGTTTTAATTCTGTGGTTGTGTTTGTGAGAACTCTAGCTGTGGGATTTTTGGTTTCCAAGATGGGGTCTCGCTGCTGTCCACCTTGTTCTTGAACTTGCGGCCTCAGGTGACCGTTCTGCCTCAGTCTTCTAAGCACCTGGGACCGTGGGCAGGAACCACTCCTTAGGCTGAGAACAGTTTATGTCACCTCTGACATATTGGAGACCTAGTCTGCTTTAAAGTAGGACTTTAAGTGTATACTAACCAGGACCCCACCAATAAATACAGCTTCTAAATATGGGAGGCTGTGTGTAATGGCTGCACTAGACCAAGGTGGACAGACACCTCTTTTTGGTTTGAGCAACAGAAATTCTCTCTCTTGGAGGCGGAGGTCTAAGGTTGAGGTGTCAGCAGCTCATTCCAGGTGAGGGCAGTGCGGGAGACTCCACTCTGAGCCTTGGGGACCTGGCTTCTGGGGCTATTGGTGGAGCTTGGGACCTACCACATTCCTCTGCTGCTCCCCTCGTGGGTGTGACCCCCCCCCTTTACCCTTTTAACTGATGCTAGTCATAAGGTAGAGTGACTTGAGGATCACCCTGGGCTCCTCGCACCTGCTGGGGTGAGTGAAGGCTGTTGCTTCGGCTCCTGACTGCTGTCCCATCCTGGAGCTGTCGGGACAGGAAGTGGAGCTCTGGGTCTTCCTGTCCTGTGTCACCAGGCAGCGAATCTGAGTGACAGGCAGAGGTCTGTGCTTCTCACGTGCTGACAGCTGTGCCGAGGACGAAGACGAGGGGCGTGCACAGGGGATGGATGGCAGGCACTTGTCAGCACTGGCTGTCTTCGGACACCCTCACTCATTCCTGGAGCAGGTGTTCACTGAGTTCCTACCACGTCATTCAGTGCGCTGGGCACCAGGAAGACATGTAACACCATCCCCGTCCTTGCCGGGCAGCTGGTTGATCTCTGCAGGGCTTGTGAGGGAGGCAGGTAGACCCCTAGAGTGTGGAAGGAGGAGGCCCTGTCTGTGCCCGAGGCTGTCTAGGGACGCAGCTGGAAACTGCTGAATGCTTGTGTTTTTTTGCAATTTTTATTTTCAGTATTATTGGCTGGGCATGGTAGTGCATGCCTTAATCCCAGCACTTGGGAGGCTGAGGCAGGAGGATCACCTAGAACCCAAGGCCTGCCTGGGCTACGTAATGAGTTAAAGACAGCCTGCACTACATAGTGAGACCCTGTCTCAAAAAAAAAAAAATTTATTAGTCCATATTTCAGTATGTAATGATCATATTCCTCATGTGGAGTCGGCATGCACACATAATGTATCTTATTTCTTTTTTCATCCCTTTCCTCTGTCTTCCTACTCCCTCTGATCTTTTTTTTTTTTTTTTTTTTCTTGTTTTGCTCTCTGTTTATGTTTGAGGTTTCTCAGGTGAGAGGCTCCATGTGATATTTCAGCTCGTGTACTGAAACTGGTTTAAGGGAGTGGGAGAAAAGGAAGAGAAAAGCAAAAGGAAAAAATATATATGTACGTATAAAAGACAGTGAAGACAGTTATGCTGCTGATTTCTCTCAGTTTGTTGAAGAGGTAGGCTTGTGCTAATGCTGTTTGGACAATCAAATGCTGAGGTCTTGTACTCCAGGGAACTGATCGGAAGATAACACACTTGATCTTTTTTTTTTTTTTTTATTTTATTTTTTTATTTATTTTTTGTGTGTGTGTGTGTGTGTGTGTGTGTGTGTGTGTGTGGCCAGCTCAGCCCACCAGGGTGCGGGGTGGGCTGGCATGTGGTGCTGGGGGATTGAACCGCGGTCCCTGTGCTTTGCTTAGCTTAGTTTGTTCTAAGTAGGTGCTTTAGACCACTGAGCCATTTCACCAGCCCAGCACACTTGATCTTAGCCCAAAGGCCAAGAAGTGATTGATTTGAAAATAACAGGGGCTGGGGAGATAGCTCAGAGGTATAAGCCCTTACCTGGCAACCACAAGGACCTGAGTTTGATCCCCAGCCTCACATGCCGTGTGGGCCCTGGAAGTGGTGGCACACGCCTGTAATCCTAGACCTAGGGAGGCTGAGACCAGAAGATCGCTGTGAGTTTGAGTGCTGATTTCTTTCCCATGTGCTGGTCTCAGGGTGCAGCCATTCTCCCATGAATGCATCCAGTTTAGTGTTCTGCATGGCAGATTGGTACTATGTGGTGTCTAAGGGACAAAGGGCCATGCTTTCTTTATCCAGGGAACTGTGGCAGCCTAACCAGGGTACGGACCGCTGGCGCTAAGAGTCACCCTGTGCCTTTCTCAGGGGCCAGCCCTTGTCCTGGAAGACAAAACGCAGGCTTTGGGGCTGAGGCCGTCCTGTGTCTCCGTTCTCCCTCCCCTGTGTGGGTGACCTTCTCTTTGGTTGATCAACAGCCTTCTCTAACTTCTCTCTCCTGGTGTGATAAGCCACCGAGAATAGTCCCGACAACCTCCTAAGGCCTTCTGGTTTTTTTGCCTTCTCGTGTGGTGTGGGTCTACATGTACACTGTTGGAAAGAAACACATCACAGTACGTCAGTGTGTACATAAACATGCACGCCTGAGCCAAGGCTGTGCTCAACTTGGCAACTGCCTGCGGATGTAGTTCTCTGCCGGTGCGACGTCTGGCTTCCGACTGTAATGTCTACCGATGCATGAGCTGTGGCTATTTACAGTGAATGGATGTTTGTTGAATGAATGTATTTTTATGCCAGCAGCCAGACGTCAGTCGTGTGAGTTTTCACTGTACCCGGCTAACCCAGCTTTGCTTTTCTTTGCAGACGAGCTCTCCCTGGAACAGCACAACCTGTCTTTATCCTCTGAGGAGCTCCTGCCGGAGACGAGCCCGGCTGTCAGCGCTGCACACGTGGCCTTAACGGAGACTGCTCCAGGGTCCCTGCCCAGCAGGTCTCTCCGTGTCATAGCTTCTCCATCTGCCACTACTTTTGATACGACTTTTTTACACTGTGGGAAACAGACCCAAAGTGCAGTGGATCATAGCATCTTTGTGGCGAATTACGGGTCAGTGACAAGTAATGAGGTGGCTGTTGGTGACGATGACATGGAGAACTTTTTGCCAGATGTCCACTGGCCCTCTTCACGGTTGGTTTCCCTCATGCCCTATGTCACAGATAGCCCAGCGGGGCTGCCCCAAGAAATGCCCCTGCCTGTGCCCACTCCACTGCTACCCTCTGTTTCTGTACAGCATGAAGAGGTGACATCAACCTGGCAAAACACCGTGCAGCAACTGTCGGCATATGTTGAGACCCCCAGTCATTTTGGCACTCTGTGGTCGACTTTTCCCACCTCTGAGGGTATAATTCCAACTCCTAGTAGGAATCTGGTGCTTTATCCTCTGGAAACTTACAGCCAGTCATCAACTAGGACCCCACTGGGGAGCATGGTGTCAGTAACAGAGGGCCCAGAGACCCTCGATCTCAGCTCCTGGTCTCGGGTGTCTCTGCCGTCGGGCAGTAGCCTGAGTCCACAGCCATCTGTCGGCTCAGGGGAGACTTCCCAGCCCCCAGATGATGTCCTGGCCACAGGCACAGGAGGACTCCCTGTTGGAACCACGGCTTGGAGTCGAGCCCTAGAAGAAGCCATCTCTCCAGGACCATCCCCCACAGTCACCATGTCACATGCAACCCTTGCTTTGGGCAGCACGCTTTCTGCTTTGTTTCCAACCCCTCCTGCTTCTGCCTCCTCCTCCGCTGAGGCAGCGGATGTTTCCTCTGACCCCTTGGTTCCCAGCAGAGCCAGCGAAGCATCAGAACTGCCTCTCTCTTCTCTGGTCCCCAGTTGTACGGGCAGCCAGAGTCCACTGGCTTCCCCCAGACCGTATACCTGGTGTGTGTCCTGTGCTGTGGCCTCTCCTCGGCCTGTTCCAGCCTCGAGCCTTGCAGAGGGAAACATGGAGGGCTCAGGGGATGGGCCTGAAACCCTGTTAGCAGCCACGCTGCGCGTGAGCAGCCCCTCTCTGTGGAGCAGCACAGGCATGGACTTCTCTGATTTTGAGGAAGAGCCTCAAGAATTCAATACACTTTTCCCCCGCAGACCTGTCATCTCCCTTTCTTCCAGACTTGTGGGGATCTCAGAAGCAAGCAGCAGTCTGTCAGCTGAGGTGGATGTGAGTAGCATTCCCGCCACCCTGGAGTTTCTTTCCCATGACCGCCCTACTGCTCCAGTGTCGCCCGATCCTGCCTCCGTCTCGCCTGTGGTCACTCAAGCAGTGCTACCCACAGTGACCGCTGAGTTTTCCTCAGTTGTTACCAGTGTCTCCCTCGATTCCTCTTTCTCTGTCATGACCGATAAAACCCCCCCATCACTTGCTACCACAGACTGGAATCTCCCCACCTCTGATAGCCTGGCTCCTTCAGTAGCCTCTTCACTTCTCTCTGCCCAAAACCCTGCCCATATTTTTGAACACAAACCTGGGAGTCTTTGGAATTTTGCATCCCACTTTTATTCGACTCTACCACTGGAATTCAGTGACCTGGCCCCTTCATCTTTGGAAACATTTACCTCACCCTCTCTGATGCCAAGGGACTTGTCCTCCTCCGCATCTCAGACCTTCTCCTCCTGGGTGGAGGTGTTTGTGGTGTCTGACTCTGTCAACTGGCAGTCACCTCAGCTTCCTGTCATCAATTCCACGCACTTTGAGTTTCCTCAGCTCTCGCCAAGTTCAGACTTTCCTTTACGAACAGTCACCTTGATACCTGCTCGCTCTGAAATGTCGCCACTCTCAAGTGTCCCCTCTGAGTCGCTCAAGTTTGCCGAAGCCTCCACAGTTTCACTGTTGGATTCTGAAGCTCATTTTACCTCAGCTTTCACTGAAGCTACCTCTGATTTGGGGTTTTCATTCATTCCCCATGAATCTCCAGTCACCACACTGGTGCCCCCTGGCGCTGAACCCACCCCGGGTGTCCTCAGTGCTGGGACCCCCTTCCTGTCACCATCAACTGCTTTCTATTCAACACCTGTTTTAACCAAGTCTTCTCTATCCTTCGCTCCGACACCATCCGATGACTTCGTCAGAGATACAAGTGACCACACCACTTTCTTACCCTCTCCTTCCAGAGCCATTCTGACCAGTACAGCCTCAAACACCCCCATGCACCTGTCCTCGGCAGCCTTGGTTGTCACAGAGCCGAGCCCCTCACTTCTGCCCACAGACCCAGCTGTTGAGGGTCCCTCCTCAGCAGATTCACCATGGAACACTTCCCCTGAGCCAAGCACGTCCAGCGCTGGTGATGCTGTGGACGGAGCCCTCGGTGGCCATACTGCGAGTCAGAGTCCCCAGGGGAGCAACACAGTGCCTCCCCTGCCATCCCTCCATCCTGTGAGCCCTGCCACCCATGACGCCCCAGTTGGCACTCCAACTCTGGTCACCACCAAGCCACCGTACATGTGTGACATCACAGTCCCTGATGCCTATCTGATCACGACTGGTAAGGCCTTGCTTCTGGTCACCTCTCTGGGGTGGGGAATCCCTTGGGGAATCCTGCAGGAGCCTGTCTCAGTGCCTGTAACACAGTCTCATGGGGCACAGGCTCTGCTACAGGACTCACAGAACCCAGGGAAGAGAGTCCCTCTCCTCTGTCCATCTCCTGCGGCTCCCATGTGGTTGCTTAGCTTCTGTTTCCTCAGCTAGTAAACAAAGATGACAGGGTTACTGTAAAGACTTAAATGCATCGCTGCATATAAAATCGCCAAGACTCTGGTGCCGTGTAAGTGCACACAGAATATTACGTATTACTTTGTAGTTGCAATAAGAACAGATAGAAGATTTAAGGGTGCTGCACACGTTTTTGGCAAGGTCTTTGTCTCTAGAACTCAACCCATGTGTGAAGAGGGGATATGAAATGCGCCTGTTCTCAGGGACTCCTCTTCAGGATGACTTCTGGTGCTTGGACCAACCTTGCCTCCGTGAGAAGTGACGGGGAGGTACACGGTGTCGTGTGAGCTAGTAGCATATGCTCACCTCCAGCCGAAGCTGGCTAGGAGCCGTGTGTCTGCTTTGCTGGGGATGGGGTGGAAATGAATGGGGGCAGAAGTAAAGGAGGAGCAGGGTGGAGTGAGCGAGCGGTGGGGAGCGGGCAGGCTTGTCTCTGGCTCCACCTGAGGGAGCTGGCACGGAATCTCTTCTTGCCACCCTCTCAGTGCTCCTGCTGCCCCCACTCCCACCCCAAAGGGACTTTTACTGTGCACTTGGCGTGCAAGAGATGCTTGTGGTGCCGTGAGGGGTGTGGCTGGAGTGGGACACGCTTGCAGACATGGCGGACAGGCAGGCAGGCAGGCAGGCAGGCAGGCGGGTGGGTGGGTGGGCAGGCAGGCGCTGTGTTTCTTGGTAGCCTTCATGACAGCACAGTCCCCTGTGCCTGAGAAGATACAATCGCAGTCCACATTAAAGTAAGAGGAGAGCATGGTCTTCTAGGTGGAGGGACGGTGTCTTCCAAATGGAGGGGGGTTTGGGCATAGCCGGAAGTCAGACCAGGTCATAGGAGGGGGAATGGTTATGTTAGGAAATGAGGTTGGAACAGAATGATGGCTTCTGCCTGCAGGGTTAGTCTGTCTAGGGAGAGATTGGAGGGCATCTCGCTGGCTACTTCTCTTCCTTTTTTTTTTTTTTTTTTTTTGGTGGAACCAGGGATTGAATTCAGGCCCTTGCGCTTGCCAGGCAAGTGCTTATTCTACTGAGCTATCTCCCCTGCCCCCTCTTCCTTTTTTTTTTTTTTTTTAAATAAAACTATTAAGCCAAACTTTTAAACTAAACAAAGTAGCTATGATGTGGTTGGTTCTAAAGAGCTTGTTAGATGTTATTGAACGCTTCTGAGAGTATCTGGTACTTATAATTGTAATCTTGTGTCTTTTAGAATTTTTCTATTTTATAAGTATCTCTAATAATGTCAGCTGTCATACAGCATAAATTTAACTCTTTTTTTTTTTTTTTTTAGTACTGGGGTTAAATCTAGGGCTTCATGCATGCTAGGCAAGTCCTCTGCTACTAACTGCCTCTCCAGCCGCAGTTTAACTTTTGTATGAGATATACATTGAATGGCATTTGTTGCCCTTTCTTAGTAGGTATCTAAATTTTTAATGACTTCTGGTAGCTGCACAGGGCTAAGCGGAAGCACCAGGGCGCCATGCGCTATTAGAGAGGAGAGAGGCGCTGACTCTTCCTTGAAGTAATGTGTTAGACTAGCGGACACGGGGCCTTTGTGGAGCTCTGTGATAAACTAGAAGCCCTCCAGGTACCGCTGATGTTAGGTTGGCTTCTAGGGAGGCCCTGGGCCCCATATTTTTTTTTTTAGTAAGGGTCTACAGGGTCTCAGTATGTAGATTGGACTTGTAGTGATCCGCCTGTGTTCAGGCTCCCAAGGGCTGGGTTTACAGGTGGGCGCCACCACGCCCAGTCTCAATGAGACTCTCGGCACGCCCCGGGGTTGGGGCCAGCATGGCCAACTGGGGATCGAACCCCGCCGCTGTGGGCCCCATATTATGATGGCTGGGAAACTAAGATTTTCCAGGGACTCCTGGCCCTCTGTGCTAGTGTTGGGATTTTGTATCTTCCTCATGTTAACTAGAGAAAGTGACCATTACGGTAGGGACGGGCAGGGGCCCTTTGGGGCAGTGCTTGGATGTCCCGAGCAGATACCTTTACCTTCAGCCGTACGGGGCTGCTTGCCATGCATGCTTTCGGCTTGCTTCTTTAGGGTCTATCTCTTCCTGACTTTCCATTCTGCCTTTCTCTAAACGTTCTTGAGACCCTTTCTTCTTTCCTTCCTTCCTCACTCCTTCCATCTTTCCTTTTGCTCCCTGCCTCTTCATTTTCTTTCTTAAATCAGATATCTTTTTTCCCACCCACCCCTTTCCTTTGCTTTAAAGCCACGGCAGTCTGACCCACTTGGAGCCCCATAAAAGGTCAGGCTGAGTTGGCCTTGGAGCCACCCAGCGAGGTGGCAAGGGCTGCAGGTTCGTTCTGAGGTTCTTGTGGTCTATGGAAGTGATACCTCTCACCTTATAAAATTCTGGGTCACTGATCCATTAGAGAAACAACTGAGTGTAACTTGAACCTATGTTTTTAAAAAATTGAAGCATATAGCAGGAAATGAAAAGCTGAACAATAATAGTAAATAAATTCTAACTGTACATTGTGGAAAGTGGATAGAGGAAGAGGAGGAAGAGGAAGGGAAGAAAATTAGGGAAGAGAAGGGTATGTGTACTCAATACCAGTGATTGACAGGACACTCGCATTGGTACAGATGTTTTGTGTCTGAGACAGGGTCTCACTGTCCTCAGGCTGGCTTCAGATTTTTTAGTGCTCCTGCCTCAGCCTCCTGAGTGCTGGGATTATAGGTGTGTGCCACACACAACCAGAATAGTACAGATTTTCAGGTGAAACTTTTTATTTTTATTTATTTATTTATTTATTTTGTTTTGCAGAACCAGGGATTTGAACTCAGACCCTTGCACTTGCCAGGCAAGCGCTTATTCTACTGAGTCATCTCCCTGGCCTCAGGTGAAATTTTTTAGATGTGAAGAAAATGAAGTAGAATTAGACTTTGGTATGGAAAGTATTCTATCTCCTACATAAAAAGAAAATAGAGACTGGGCGTGGTGGCACATTCCTGTAATCCCAGTGCTTGGGAGGCTGAAAATAGGAGGATCACTATGAGTCTGATCTGTGTAGTGAGACCCTGTCGACTCTGTACTAAACACATATTAAAAAAAAACCACCTAAAATATGAAAAAGGGAAATATCTTTTTTCTCTGATTATTAATGATCAGTAAGTACTCTTTGCACGCTTTGAAAAGTTAGGGTGCGAGCCTGCCTTTGGTGGAGGAAGATGGCTGGTCTTGCTGAACTTACCAGGGGTCCTTGGAGTATTACTTCTGGTAGCTTTTAAAGCCTTGCATTTTGCAGTTAGGAGCATGGCCAAGAGAAAGCCTGGTATTTGTTCACGCTCGTGAACATGGGAGCAGGAAGCTCTCGGTCTCCTTGCTGGCTCCTGGCAGCTGCTTTCTGATCTCTCCCTCCAGGGCAGGGAGCTCCCCCCGGTGTGGAGCTGGCGCTTTGTGCAGCTTCCCTGCTAGCTTGGGGCCCCTCCTGCGTTCCATGTGGGGGTAGTTGGTGGCAGTTAGGTCCCTCGCCTCCATCCTGTCTGCATCTGGACCTTACTTGAGGGAGTGACTTTGGGGGATGCTCACACACTGGGACACGCAGTGACACTGAAGTGTGACTGGTGGTTGGCTTGGACTTGCAGTGCTGGCCCGAAGAGCTGTCCAGGAGTACATCATCACAGCCATCAAAGAGGTGCTGAAGGCGCACTTCAGACGCGCCGTGGAGCTGCAGGTGAGTCCCCGGGGCCTGCTGGGAGTGTGGGTTGATGGTGCAGCAGGAGCCTTCCTTTCCCAGTGGTGCCATTGTCCTGGCTCACTGTTGCCCCTGCTCAGGTTCTGGGCTCATTCTTGTCAGGGAAGCCTTTCCTGGCTCCACACAGGGCCGCGTTCAGGTCCCGGTGGGGGAGGGGTTGTGTTGGCAGAGTTGGAACCAAGGGCTCTGGGACCAGTGGCAACCTTTGGGGTGGTGCCCAAGACAGTTTTGTTTTCCTCGATTCACACTAAAGGACTTGGATTCGAGTTAGGATTTCGAATTTAAACTAGATTTTAGGGCCATTTACATCTTTTTGCATACTCAGTGGGATAGAGATGGATTTTTTTTTTTTTTTTTTTTTTAAGTTTTGAGACAGGGTTTCGCTTTGTGGTTCAGGCTGGTCTTGAACTCACTGTGTAGCCCAGGCTGGCTTGGAATTCATGGCAGTTCTCCTGCCTCAGCCTCCTGAGTACTGGCACTGTAAATGTGCCCTTCGTTTATATCGACCTGTGGCAGTGGCCCTTTCCTAGTATGGCCAGGGAGCTGTGCTCTTCTGAACCTGTACTGTCCCTAACCAGAATGCTGTAGGAGCTGCAGTGGCTGTGGGGCTCATAAAATAGGGCTGTGCTGAATTGACATGTGCTGCCAGTGTAAAATAGATGCTAGATTTTAAAAGTGCATGAAAAACATAAACTATGTTCCCTGTATTTTTTTGTTTTGACTATGAATTGATTGTTGTTTCAGATATACTGGGTTGAGTAAAATGTATGTGAGATTAATTTCACCCATTCTTATGTTTTTTTAATATGGCTGCTAGAAATTTTAAAATTGCATGAGAGTGGCTGGTGTTATATTTGTTTTGGATGGTGGTGTGCTGCAGTCGAGTAAGAGCTGCTTCCTGCGTGAGTGAAACACATCAGCCGCCTGAAGTCGCCGAAGTCACTGCTCAATTCATGTTATGGGCTTTGTTTCTTTCTTTCTTTCTTGTTTTTCTTCTTTTTATTAATTTTATTGAGAAACAAATAGCAATGAGACAGTTTCAAAACAGGTTAGTAGGACAGTTACAATAATTAACACATTGCATATTGTTGCCTTCGTAGTATTCACAGTACAAGATGCAGACATGATATCTTGTCCAAACACTATTAGTACAAATCTTTCTTCTCACTGAATTAAGAGAAAGGAACTGTCTATCTATCCTAACTATTTTGTATGTACAGATACAAAATGGTCCTTCTTTATATTCCCTTTTTTTTTGTTTAGCTTTGTCAGAGATGGGTATTCCATTGCCATTTAAATATTGTAGGTGCGTGAATTCAGCAAAATAATCCAATATAGTCCACTAGTCCATCAGAGTAGTGGGCTATCCGTAGGACTGGCAATGTCAGAAGTTGTTGACTTGAGCCTTTCGGAGCTCAGCATATTAATATGGCTTTACTTTTTATACCTCGTTTTTATACTTTTCTGCTGGATGGTTAAGATCAAGATAAAGCAAGATGTATAATATAACAGGAAATGCAACTTCTGTATCTGACAAGGTCAGTCAAATCCCCTCAGGCTTTACCCTGAAACCCTGTTTTTTTCTTCTGGGACTTTTTTCTTGGTACTAGGAATTGAACTCATGACCTAGTGCTGCCAGGTAGGTGCTGAGCTACTGAGCTATATCCCCGGCCCAGCTTTTCTTTCTTGCTATTTTCATATTTTGTGTTGTTTTTTGAGAAGGTTGAACGACTATGAAAAGAATAGCTCAAATAAAATCTTGATTGTATCTGAAGCAGTACCTTTCTGTTTAAACTACTGATATATTTTTAAACTCAATTTATTCCTTTTTTCCCCCCAATACCACTTCCTTTAAGTTTGAATTATCTTTTGTATATATTTTATTCCCCAGGTTTATGAGCTTTTCACGGATTTCACTTTTCTGGTAACATCTGGTCCTTTCATTTACACGGCAATATCAGTCATTAATGTCCTCATCAACAGCAAACTCGTGCGGGACCAAACTCCTTTAATCCTGTCTGTGAAGCCTTCATTCCTGGTGCCCGAGTCCAGGTTCCAAGTTCAAACAGGTGAGGACCGAGCACAGTGGTTGTTATTTGTGGGCAGAACTTTTTTGTTTATATTTTAAAATAGAGGATTGCTTTGAAATTTTATTCTTGGAGATAAGGTCTTGCTATGTGGTTTAGGCTGGCCTTGAACTCCTGTGTGCCACTGTACCTGGCTTGATTATTTAACTAAAACACCAAACTTCATAGTTATGGAGAAATTCACAGCTATGCAAGAGTTTAGGGACTCTGCTAATAATCCCCATGTGCCCACCGTATGATTCCAGCAGCTTTCAAGTTCTTAACAACTTTTTTTTTTTAAATTTTATTTATTTATTTATTTATTTATTTATTTTGTGTGTGTGTGGCCAGCTCAGTCCACCATGGGGCGGGGCTGGCTGGCATGTGGTGCTGGGGGATTGAACTGCGGTCCCTGTGCTTTGCTTGGCTTAGCTTGTTCTAAGTAGGTGCTTTAGACCACTGAGCCATCTCACCAGCCCAGC